ATCAAAATTGGCGCCGTTGTCGGAGATTCTTGTTTTTATTAACTAATATTATAGTCATAGGTTTAGTGTTCTTGTTTTTTTTCTTGGTTTTTTTTGTTGTTTTGTTTGTTGATTTTCAGGATTGCAATTTCGGTTGCAGTACAGTTTTTCAGCCTACCAGGTAAGTTTGAAACCTACTGTTTCGATTTGCTCCGAATTTTTTCTTGAAGTTCCGAAAAAAATCGATGAACAGTAGTCCTTTAGAATAAAATTCTAAAAGGTTTCGGCCCTCAAAATCGCAAATTCCTCTTTTTTCTATTTTTAATTAATTTTTTATTGTTTTCATAGTGTCGAAAAAATTCAAAAAAAAATCTCAAAATTCTTATTTTACTTCATTAGATTAATTCTGATGGTTTTATATTTTTCTGAATTTATTTTCATCATTTTCCCTCTTTCTATTTGTTTCTACCTATTTGAGACATAATTGATATTTCTGTGTTTGTTGGTAACATGGCTGAACAAAGATCCTTGAGGCAGTTGGTTGCCCCTGATGTGAACTATAATGGTGTATGTATTGACTATCTTGCAGCTGATACACCTACTGAATCGAAATCTGATTTAATACATTTGTTGTCAAAGGTTAATAGTCTTACAGGTGAGGATCCGCATAAGCATCTGAAGGAATTCCAGGTTGTGTGCTCAAAACCTTCTGAACCTTCACTAGAGGACATTGTTAAACAAATGGCTGTAAATAATCTCCAGTTTCAACAACAAGTAGATTCTACTCTCCAAACTTTGCAAACACGGATTGAACAACTTGTCTCTTTGATGAATGACATGCAACAAGCTCAAGGATCTAACCAACAACCCTTAGAAGAGAATTTTGTTTTTCCAATAGAGTTGGTTTCTGAGACAATTGATGATACTTGTACTGATTTATTTGCAGTTGATTTTCCATCATTATCTGATTTTGATGATGTTTACTCTTGTGATGTTTGTACTAATATTAAAATTTGCTCTGTTTGTGCTGAAATTAAGGCCGCCTTGTAAGTTGATATTATTACTGCATATGAGGTTGCAAATGAAGTTGTTCATGTGGATGAAGCTCTCGACACTCAGGCTGTCCGAAACAAATTATCCATCGAACAACCACCTTCCCAAGAGCTGCAACTAATTCCTGAAAATCTTAAATATGCTTATTTAGAGATGAATGAAAAACTCCCGGTTATAATTTTTTCTAAACTTTATTTTGATCAAGAAAGTAAATTTTTGCAGGTTTTGAAGAAGCATAAGAAAGGAATTGGATGGACCTTAGATGATATTTATGATATTAGTCCGTCCATGTGCATGCATAGGATCTCACTTGAAGATGTAGCAAAAGCAGTGAGGCAACCCCGTAACCTTTTGATCTTTGGTGTTGTGGAAAAGAAGATCACGTGCCCATTCAACACTTTTACTTATCAAAGATTCTTCTTTGATTCTGGAATAAAAGGTGAAGGCACTAATAAAAATTTCAAGTTCAACGCACATTACCCAAAGCTACTCCATGAGAGTCCCACGTTGGAAGAAGAAACTATAGAAGAGATCTCGTTGGGAAAGGCTACTTATGCAATCATCTATCCGCCTTGACTTCTCGGGTGTGTTCTTTCCTCTCTCTCCTCTCTCTTATTTTATACTTGTTTCTTTCAATGAGGACAATGTGTGTTTTAAGTGTGGGGGAGAGAATTATTTATTTGTTTTGTTTTCTTTGCTTTTATTCGTTGTTTTATTTTCAGTTATAAAAAAATATGCATCTTTTTGAAAGTTTTGGGTTATAGATTAATATGAGGTTAGTTGTGGAGACTTGGGAAAAGTTCACAAGACCGGTATCGTCTTAACACTGTAAGTCTCATGCATATGGAAGTTAATTTGAATTTTTATTATGACGTAGCCTTGAATTCTCATCTTTTAATAGCTCTTGAGTAGTTTATTTCAGCAGTCAGCACCATCTCACACATAGTCTACGCAGGGAAGTGGATGAAAATAAGTGAGTGATTCAAGTTTTATTTGGAAAAAAAAGGAAAGAAAAAGGAATGCGCCTTCTAAGTTTGGTGACCCTCACCCGGTCACTTAACCCAACGGTCGTAGAACCTACAAAGAAAGTTTATAATAAGACTTGTTGTTAGTTGGTTCAGCGGTTTCTGGTGCTGAATTTGGTAGGGTGGATTACAGACCGATCCTCCACAACTACAACTGACTAAGCAAAAGGTTATGCTATGTAAGTACCAGAACCCCGTGCAAAAATGATCAGAGTCACTAACCGGTCTCCTTGCTATGAGTGTGTGGAGATAACGAGTTTAATGTGATTGCGCATGAATGAAAAAGAGCAAAAAGGAGAATGAGTAAGTTAGGCTTTAGCATAATAATATGATTAGAATTGGTTTGTATATTCAAGAGACCAGATTAGTGTTCCTACGATGTCCTTAGTGTGCAAGATTAGTACCTATTGATGCAATCTTAACCGAAGAAGAGTTTGTAGCCTAGAATGAGTAGTTGATGATGCTGTTGTGTTTCTTTTGATTTTATTTTACTCGGAATACAAAAGTTCAAGTGTGGGGGAATTTGATCAGTGCATTTTGATGCACATTCTTCCATGATTGTACTTATGTATTTTCATGATTTGTTTAGCTTATTTTTGTATTTTATACTGTTTTTCTATTTTAGTTTATTTCTACTCTTATTTGATTTCGCACTTTATTTTCAGTATTAGCAGTCTGCACGAATAAATTCATAACTTAAGCTACGGGAGTCGGAATGAGGCATGCTACCAGTCGTTGGAAAGCTAAGAGAAAGAGCTACAATTTTCATTCAGAAATCGAGAGCTGAATCAGATTGTAGAAGGACCATAAAATTCGTTGAAGTTGCAGCATTTTATATTTAAGTTTTGGGTCATTTGTTTTGGGTCTGGGTTATGTTTTCGACCCGGTTGGATTATGAACCGAATCCTTGTCCTTGCTATACCTAGCAGCCGCTACAGTAATTTAGTTTTAACCTTTTTCATTATAGTAAAAAAAATACATTTTGTTTTGTACGAATCTTATGGAGAGCTAAATTTTCTGAGTTGATCTGCTACATTCATGTTCCGATATTTGAGGTTAATATAATTTTGCAATTTAATTTCTATTCCTTTCAACTCTACTATATGTTTATCGTTTGCTTAATTCGATTGTCATAAAATAGTTTTGTTTGATTCGATTGATTTATGGTCCCTAATTTTTCTTGCGTGATCGTTTGCTTAATTCGTTAATTCGCTTATTTTTAACCGTTTGCTTAATTCGGTAAACAGGAAACATAATTCTTATAATATCATTCTCGCTTTTTGAATGTTATTATGATCGAACAGGAATAGTACCCGCTTAGGATAGCGATGTTATAATAATCAATGATAGGTAAGAACTGAATTAGCAGATTAATTTATTTTGATAATCACTTATTTCGTGTTATAAATCGATCCTAAAACCAACCTCCCATTAGATTTCTATTAGTTAATAATAAAATCAAGAATCCTTGCGATACGACTCGAGCCATTGTCGCTATACTGCATTTTAAAATAACTCGTTTTTGATCCGCCCGCGACAGCGGATCACCCTGTAACCATGTTATGTTTCGACATATATCATTGAGGTCCTTGAAATTCAAATGCCTAAGTCTATAGTACCATATTCGTTTTTCTTTACTAACAGACATTGCAAGACGCCTATGCTCCATTACTTTCAATTCAACTTTGAAACTTATGTTTTGAGCCATATGAGCCTTTAGGATCAAACTCCCATTTGCATCCATATCTTTCGACACTTATTTTTCTTGTGAATTTGGTAATTCCTTTCAAGCAATTGGTCAGTGCTTAAAATATCATATTTGATTATCAGAATATATAACACACCTTTAATCAAGGAATGCTCACTATTCTCCCTCTTGATTGATATGTCGTCAATACCCTCTACTACAAATATGCTATCGTCTGCGAATTTCACCTTGTTCTTCAACGCTTAATTGATCTTTAAAAACCAATCATTCCTTCTTGTCATGTGCGTTGAACACTCAGAGTCAAGGTACCATTAATCGTTGTATTTTGCGTCTTCTCGCGTAGTCACCATCACATTTTCAAGGAATTGTACCTGATTTTGTTTTTCGTTTCAGCAATCGCCATTAACAATGTGATCATCTTCTTGCATTGCAAACTTTGCTTCAACTTCTTGTGGATCATTTTTGTTGGCATGACATTCGCGGGAAAAATTTCCAAGTTTTTGGTAGTTGTAAATTGAACATTGCTCTTGTCATTCTTCCATCTTCCTCCTCTTCCTCTATCGTTGTCATCTTTATAATTGCTTGATCCACCACCTTTTTTGTCATTGCTTTCACCCTTTTGAAATGTTGAATTGTTGGAATTTTGAGAGTCTCTCCCACCATTGTTGTATTAGTTTCTTCTACCTCTACTTATACACAATTTCCCCTTCACTTTCTTGTCCTTTCCAATGAAATGAGCTTGTAAAGCGATTTCAACCTTTACTTTCTCAACATTCCTCTTCTCTCCATTCTCTGCTCATGAGAATCAAGAGAATTTTACAACTCTTCTTTACTTATAGTTGAAAGATCCTTGAACACTTCAATGGCAACTACTACATTATCAAATCCTGACGTCAACGATCTCAACACGCTTTCACATAGAAATAATAGTAAGAACACAGTACCTCACATTTTTCTTTTATGTTAAAAAAATATTGAACAAGTTACTCATTAACTAATGAAAAGAGCTAGACCCCCAATAACTTCAACTTAGCATTAACATTAATATAAGACTTTGGCATCTAGCATAATATTGAATGATCAAGTATGTTAATTATTATCACTATGACAATGTACACTAATATTGACTCTACCATAAAAAGAGAACTAACAAAAAATCAGCATATTATCATCTTTAAAATAGAAAGAAAAGAAAAACTGATTCTATTGAATTTCAAGGTTTTTAATGAATCAGCTCAATAATATGGCTGAATTGACGAATTTCCATTGTACATTTGTGAGTTTAATTGTTCCAGATCTTCCTTAAATATCCAACGATAACCACAATTTTTTACCTCCAAGTGCAAACCAAGGGGCTGCCTAACTATAGCTCTCAATTCAATACAACTAATATCATGCAATACCTCTGTTAGATAGGTCATATAATAACCAATAAATTCTTCCCTGCTGAAAAAAATTAGCAACAAGTGATTTAAATCAACTGTGACCAGATCTTTTTCAAGACGTATGGGAATAATTGAATAGTTCCCACGACCATGCTGATTACTTTGAAAACCAAAGTAAATACGAGGCTGTTCTTTACTTAAAGTAGTGGGATTATCATGTGCTACAAATGTTAAGCAGCAAACAACACCTATCCAATTCTTGTCATCCATAATGGGTGATGGATCCATGCTTATTGAACTACCTACATTTTGTTTGTCGAGCCACATTGGAATTTCAGTTTTGGGAATAACAATTGTAATCTGTTCTATTGGGATCTCGGATTGCATGTGCATCTGGTACCAAATAAATATATGAGTTATGTATTAGTTCAATCATATAAAAATAAATAAAGACAAAAGGAAAAAGGATGGAGTAGGCACCTGAAGAAATTGTATCATCCAAGAAAAAGCCATTATATAACAACATTCCACATCAATTAAACTGGGGCAGTCAAAAATATTAAATTCAGCGACAGTTCTTAAATATGTTGTTCTTCTTGTTGGCAAGACATTATTTGATGGGAGCTCAGGCAAATATTTCAGCTGCTTACAGTGTTGCAAGTTTAATCTTCTAAGTTTGGAAAGTTCCTTGATGTTAGAAGGTAGTATCACAAAATTGTTCCCCCCTAAATATAGAATTTCTAAGCAATGTAACAACCCAATTGCATTAGGGATTTGAAAAAGGTTGCAGAAACTCAAGTTAAGATATTGCAAACATGACAAACGAGACAATGAAGGCAACAACAAACCAACTGAATCTTCGGGTTTTCGAAAACTCAAATATCGAAAGTGCGACATTAGAAATTTGTAGATGAAGGATGTTGGTTGGTATTGGGTAGTACTTTCCTTATTATCAAGCACCTCCTGTTGTTCTATTTGTCTTTGTATTTCTAACAGTTTATTATTAAATAAGTTTGGACATCCTGAGAGTTTTAGATATATGAGAGAGCTCAGACCAAAAATGTTGATAGGAATACTAACCAGATTTGTACAATTTTTCAAATCTAATCTGGAAAGCCTTCTTAAGGTACCAATGGATGGATCAATCTTCACTAGTTTTATACATCCTTCAAGAGCTAGGCTCTCGAGATTTGGAATCTCCTTAAAATTTGGCATCTTAATAAGATTTTTCGAGTGAGAGAGATCAATATGTGTCAAATTAGGTAGAACCTGCAAGCAACGAAAAATAGAAAGAGACAAATTAAAAATCATACTAAAACTTTAATTTGTTTCTTTAGCTAATTGCAGCGAAAGAAGAAATATATATATATATATAATGAGATAAACACTTCTTATGTGTTCATCAGAAAAAGAAAAAGATAGGCTTGTAACCATGTTTATAGTACCTTTGTGCCCTCCCATAGTTGCGCGATGTTGCTACGAGGTAGGATCAGTTCAACAAGTTTATGTGGCTGAAAACTTGATGGCAAACAAGTGAAAGGGTATTTACCCCAATAAAGATACCCCAATTCACTTGAAAGAAAATTGAGACTTCCTGAGAAATTCAAATTCCATAGCATGAGCAATTTAAGGCGTCTCATTTGTTCTAAACCTTCAGCCCTCAATGTTGTCATCTCTGGTATTACTCCATCGTTTTCTGGACAACGCTGCAACACTATGGCTTCAAGGTTTTTTGTTGCCTACAGAATCATAGAGACTTTAATTTTATTAATCTTAAAGAAAAAATGGCAAGCAGTAATTGTATCTCCATAAATATTTTACCATGTTTTCTGAGATAACACTGTGGACATCCTTGTATTCCCACAACCTGTTCCACTTTCTTGGTTCTTTGGGTGATTTTTCTCTAACAATACTCTTTCCCAGTTCTCTGAACAAATCATGCATACAAATTTTCTGCTTTTCACAGGTTATGAATGATTTATCAATGAGAACTCTTAAACCAATTCCAGGATGAAAACCACGAAAATCTAAAACTCTCTTCACGATTGTTTCATCTTTTTCATAAAAGAAACAAGCAATATCTAGAAATATATCCTTTTCTGTATCCTCTAATCCATCAAAACTCATTCGGAGTACATTCATAATATCTATCCTTGGATTATCTCTTAATCTTGACAATGCACTTCTCCACTCAGAGACATCTCGGCCATATAGAAATGAGCCCAACACTTTAATTGCTAGTGGAAGGCCACGGACATAGTTTAGCACATCATATGTCAAGTATATGTAACCGCTCATGATATCATCAGTTTTGAAAGCTTTCCTACAAAACAATTGAAGGGCATATTTACGATCCAAGAGTCGAACTCTGTATACTTCATCTACTCCATGCTCTCTCAAGATATGCCCATTTCTAGAAATAATGATTATTCTACTCCCTGTGCCTAGCCATTCTCTTTTCATGTTCAATTTATCCAGTTGCTCAACTTCATCAACATTATCAAGAACAACAAGGGATTTTATTTGACATAGCCTAGTTCGAATCAAATTAGATGCCATAGGAAGATTGGATATCTGAAGATTTTCTTCATTTAGAGTTTGACAAAGAAGTTGTTTTTGTATTCCAATTGGCCCATGGTCTCCATAAATTTTACTTACATCATGAATAAAGCAGCAAGCATCAAATTGATTGGAGATTCTAGCATACAAGGCAGTAGCAAGAGTTGTCTTCCCTATTCCACCCATTCCACAAATCCCTACAACTCGAACATCATCATCTGAGTCCAAAACCAGAAGATTTTCTAGTTCTTCCACTGGTGAGTTCATCCCAACTATATCGGCAGGTAAAATTGAAGATTTGTTTCCCAATAAGCATGTTACCTCTTTAATAATTTTTCCAATCTCTGCATAATGTGGCCTAAAAGTCCAGAGGATAGAAATATCAAATCCAAACAAAAACTAGAAAATAGTTGCAAAGATAGAAAAGAATACTTACTTATCCCTTACATCCCAACCAGAGATTTTGGATACGTGTGTGAGGGCTCTCCTCCATCTTTGCACTTGCTCTAAATTTTCTTTGAATCTTACTTCATGCTCCCGAAATGCTTTTTCGTAATCTCCGGTTTGCTTCCCTACATGAGATGGACTAACATCGTAGAAAATAGGTAGAACAGTTTGTCCTGATACTTGAAGAACGCAATCAGCAATTTTTGCGAGTTCTTGCAAGCACCACGTGGAAGAAGCATAGTTTGTTGAGAAGATTACAATCAAAATACGGGATCCTTGAATAGCTTGTAGAAGTTCAGATGATATATGTTCCCCTTTCTTGAGCTTTGTATCATCTCTGAAGGAAACAATGCCTTTATTATGAAGAGCGCCAAAGAGGTGATCGGTGAAATTGTTGCGGGTGTCTTCACCTCTAAAGCTCACAAACACATCATATTTCCATCTCATACTAGCTGAACAGCCGCTTTGGAGGGTAATAGAAGCCATTGAAAATTGTAAAAGGCAAAACTCTCTTGCTGATGATGATGTGAGTATGAAAGGAACTAATTGAAGAATTTAATCAAAAGAGATAATCAATCAATAGAGAGATGAGCAAGTGAATACGTTGAGTCAACGGAGAGAGAAAACAGAAGTTGGGCTGAGTGAGAACGGAGAACAATCCCGAATGTTATTTTAAAGGTCGTTAAAACTAAAATTGAATATTTAGACTTAACTATCATAATCAATTTACTGAGTAAAATGATAAATATGAATTAAATCGTTTTAGATATCATAGAAAGCATAAGTAAAAAATAAATAAAATAGGACCAATTTTGTTTTCTATGTTTACAACGGGCACTCTTATGTCCGTTTGTCCCATTTTTTTAATATGCACAATATTAAAATACAAACATGATTTTTTATTTCATTTTAATTTTAATTTAAAATATTTATTAAATAAATTTTGTTATATGAATTTGTTTATAGTAATTTAATTTTATATTACTCCCGTCCTTAAATATAAGAGTTTGTTGAGTAAATTGCAGGAATTAAGAAAATTTGTTAGAGTAATAAATTTATTGATTATTTTGTATGATTTTACAAGTTTATCTTTAGGAGAAAGAAATAGTTAATATGTATGTAATTGTATTTGATCGTATCTGATCAGAAGGGATCATCAAGACCCACGAGCTTTAAGTTGAGCAGCGGTTGAATGTGAAGTGGGGGGTACCTGCAAGACACTCTAATGACAAAGTAAAGTTCAGAACAAATGCAACTAAAGTGTGAGAGTATAGATGAATGAATGAATACCTGACCCTCTCATGTGAGAGGGTATTTGTAACCCCCAGCACTGGACCAAGTGATTTGGGCCCAATAACAAGGACTGTCAGGGTTACGTCGGTAATGGGTTCCAGCACGTGGCCTCCTCCCTGGTAAAGTATCCCGAAAATATAGAGGCAGTGGATCCGTTATTCTCGGAGGGCAAGTGGTGGTTGATATGACTGTTGACCACGTTCTTTAATGAGCACGTGAGGGAAATCCCCAACGGCTATCTGACTTGGGCCTAAAGCTATTGGGCCATAGGCAGAGGTGCTAGTATTGAGCCTGCCCATCCGAGGGCCAAGTGCCTGCTCGGCCTAGAACCGGAGTCACCCAAGTTATTGCTCTTAGACGAGAGAGTGATAACTTAAGGTCTACTGGATTGTCGGGGAAACGTTGCTCAAAAAAGAGACTGTTATTTTAACTCGAGGAGATGTTGCTCGAAGAAGAGAGCGTCTTATGGGTCAAGGAGACTTTATTCGAGGGGAAGGCTTCTTTTCGGATCGAGGAAATATGGTTGTTAGTTGATTCACCTCCTCACACTTCTCCTTAGTTGTGAGCAACCTTTAGAGGATTTTCCTCGACTGAGTCATTGACTGCCTGCTTTCGTGCACTAGTCTCCTCGAGGTGTCCACGAGAGGGTGCTTCGCATCCGCAGAGAAATCACAGGAATCTCTTTTGAGCTCCTTTTCATGATGCCTGCGTGAGGAGAGAGTCACAATTATGTCGCGCAAGTGCTCGTTGGTGAAGGTCTTGAGACCTTGCGTCAGCGCGTGACTTCGCGTGGGATTCTTTAAAGTTCAAGCGGTGCGTCCCTTCACGTGCCACACGTGGCGGCTGTTCAGATTGTCAGCATTTCCTGAGGAAGCCTAAAGACCTAAGCAATGATGACTCTTGGCACACTACCCGTGTGATGGGGACTAGCTATAAAAAGGGGGTGAAGGAATTCTCTTGAACATTTTCACTTTCTCTCTCCTCCTGCACCTCCTCTGTTCGCAAGCTGCTCTGTCGTCGTTGCCACTGTCGTAGGTTTTCCAACGTTCGTTTGTCTCAAAGCAAGTGATTTTCTTCAAGCTTTGTTAGTTTACTCAGAATTTTAGATGATTGGATGAAGTTTTCTAGAGAATTCACGAGTTTTGGGTTACATTTTATGAATCCTTATGAAATTTCCGATGAAGTTCATGAAGATTCATGACGCTTTCGGTGAAGTTCATGGACTCTGGACGAAGATCCATGAGTTTCGTATGTAGGTTCCTAAGTTTTTGATGAACTTCATGTGGATCTATGTCGAGGATTGGCCCCTCGTGAATTGGGTAGATATGGGCAAAACGGCTCCATGTTGGGGATTATCCCCTCGTGAACTAGGTAGATACAGGCAAGCCTCCTCTGCTTGTGATCTTATGCTCGCTTGAGGGGGTTGCTTCCTTCGTGGGTTTCAAGGGCTTGAGTAGAGGACCTCCCCTCAAAGTGTTCCTTTCCCTTTCACTTGATTTGCGGTGAAAAGATGGATTTGATGATGTCAAATTCACTATTTTCCCCTGCTTTTCAGGTTAAATAGCTCAACCGGTCGAGGAAGTGAATTTGCCCGGTCCTCATGGTGAAGAAAATGCCAATGTGGGCAATAATGCAAACATGGGAAACAATTTGGACAGGATTGTGCCCGAGCCCAGAAATCTTATGTCTGAATTCGTCCACGATGCTTCGGATGCCTTCAATGTTGTCGAGTACAGGGCCGAGGGTGCTCCTGCCTCTTGGTCAATTCTCATTCCGTGCAACAACCAGAGGATCTGTTCGGCCTACCCGGGCAAGCGCTTCTCAATGTAAGAGTTTGCTTTCAAGGAGGCAGGGATGCGTCTGCCCTTTACAGCCTTCCAAGTTGGAGTTTTCAGATGGCTGCACTTGGCGCCTTCCGAACTTCACTCGAACGCGTTCGCGTTTATGCGGCCATTCGAGATCGTATGTCGGTATCTTAATATTAGTGCTTATTTGCCTCTGTTCTTTCGGATCTTCCACGTCCATCGGGAAATGATCGGGGGTCTCCCGGCCTGGGTGTTGTTCAAGCAGCACGGAAAGCTGTTTCGATCGTATATGGAGTTCGTTCGGCATTTCAAGGAAAGGTTTTACATCGTGAAGCCACTGTCAGACGCGGTTGTGTACTCCGTGTACGAGTGTTCCATCGAGATCAAGGATGGTCGGGAGGTGATTAAGTTTCAGGCGAGATCCCCCCTTGAGTGGCAGTGGATGTTGTTGTACCCCAAAATCTGTCCTCCCATTTTTATTTAAAGCATTCTTTCAAGGCTCTTCAAATGGTCAGGGCACCTAAGAGTTGACTAGTTAAGATGCACCTCCTACACAAAAAGCCTACAACTAGAGTTTGGATTTTCTCAAGGAAATTTGGTCTGCAAAAGTCTCAAGTGGCTCTCATGTTTCTTTATATATCCTCAACAAGGCTCATGTCAAGTTTCAAGCCCTACATCACAAGTTTGCTCAGTCAATGGCTCAGATGCTTGAAAATCAACTATATTGATCAAAAAGTCAACTATGGTCAACATACATTCAAACTTAAAGATTTTTGGTCAACATCAATATTTTGAAGTGTTATTCATAATTTGATCAAGGGTTGATCATGATTCCTCAAGGAAAGTCCTCAGATCATCAAAAGTCAAGAATTGCCAAACTAGGGTTTCCTTAGGAGAAGTCAACTGAACTTTGACCGGGCATAACTTTTACATACTTCATTAACTTCTCCCCAACCAAATATCATTTTGAATAAAATTCAATTCTCTACAACTTTTCTTTTATTCTCAAGTCCAAAAGATGCTTCATTTGGAAGATATGATCTCATATATTATAGGTCATTTTCAAAAGTCAACAAAAGACACTTTTTGTCAAGACAACTTACATCAAGATAATGTCTTCAAAAGAAAAAATTACCAACATAGAGATTGATAGGATATCTTTTTCTTTCCAAAAAGTCCAAGATCATATTCAAAAGATGAAAATTGAGTAAGTTGTGAGTTGCACAGGTTGAGGAATTTTGAAGAAATTCAAGAAGTACAAATTGAGCAAAATTGCATTTTTAGACCAATGATCCTACTTTTTGGACTTCAAACATGTCCATAATATCTTATAAGACCTCTAAGTACATTTTTGCATGGCCTTGAGTTTTATTTATATTTATCTTGATTTTATTTAATTTAAAATCAAATAAATTAGATAAAAATACAATAAAACATGGGCTAATGCATTTGGGCTTAACTTGATCCATTATGAAGCCCAACATTCGTGCAAGATACATAGAAATTGTCTAGGTTCATGCAAAATTTGAAAAGGGCAATAATCAAACAAAAATAACAAAGGATCATGAAGTTTGGAAACTTTTCAAATTTTGATTTTTTGTTTTAAGGTCATGGTTAATGGCTTGATTCTTTCCATGTTGGTTTACACTCCTTTCTTCCCTCTATAAATACACAACATTGAAAGCCCAAAGGGGAACGAAATTCCTACATGCAAAAGCTCTCCAAAAGTCTCCAAAAGCTTGCCCGAATTCTTCACATTTTTCAAAGAAATCTGCATAGCAATTTCCAGCCATATTCGAGTAATTTCAAGCCTCGTACCATCTTCCTGGGGTTGTCAGGAGTCTATACCAAGCCTCACTCATCACGAATCAACCCCAGAATCCTCCTTTGCACTAGCTCCAATCGGTAAGTTAGTAAGTTTCAGTTTATAAATTTCAGCACAATTTCAATCATTGCAAGCATGCCAGCATGATTCATATTCATGATTTAAGTTGTTCTAACATTTTATATTTGAGTTTTAATGCATAAACAACATCGTGTCATTTTTAGGGCACAAAGCTTTTGAAGCTTCAGATCTTGCAGTACAAGCATTGTTAGATCAAACTAACCGCACCATGAGATTCACAGGGTTTTAATTAGTCAAATATGATCATTTTATTTTCCATTTTATTTGAATCGTGCAGGTTTTAATTTTTACGTCATCAGAGGGGATGACCGGAAGCACCATCCATGTTGGTTTGACCGGTGGGAGAATTCGCGTGGCTGAAAGAAATATTATGATTGACCAATTCAAACACCATGACCCCATCTGGGCACACGCACTTTTATTTAAATGATTTTGAACTTGAT